TTACTTATGTACACCAGGCTGGCCTCAAATTCATGGCGATTCTTCTGCCTCAGTTTCCCCAGTGCTGGGATTACAGATGTATGCCACCATGCCCAGCTGTAATCATTTTTATATGAGTATTTCTGAGTTATCAAACAAATCATCTGAGTTTCCATTATTTCCTATGGGGAAATATGCTTTGATATACAAGCGATGTGGATTATAAGCATATTTCTGGAACAAATTATGCTCGCAAGCCCAAGTTTTACTGTGTTTCATATACGTAAGAGGGACATTAGAAAATGGAACCCAAGTCTACACATGAACCTCATTTACGGTTCATGTACACCTATGCCTGTGTCCTGAAGGTCATTTTTTTCTTCTTCTTTTTTTTTTGGACAGGGGCAGGATCTGCCTATGTAGTTCAGATTGGCCTTGAACTGTGGCGATCCTCCCACCTCAGCCTCCTATGTGCTAGAGTTACAGGTGTGTGCCACCATGCCTGGCTAGCCTGAAGATAACTTCATAGAGTAGATATGGTGTACCTGCACTTTGGCTGTGGCCTGTCCTATGCGGTCAGGTGTGGAACTCTCTATTTATGGGTTATGTTGGCACAGTTTTAGATTCTGGAGCATCTGACATTTTCGCTTTCCAAATTAGGGATGCTTAACCTGTGCTCAGGTCTTGTACTGGGGAGGTGAGGCGGAGCCCCTCTGCCCTCTACTGGCTATACATCCCGTACCACCCTGGCAGCTGCGCGCTTCGGCCGGGTGTACAGGGCAGTGGGGGTGGAGTGGGTCGGAGAGACCTGCTGCTTTCTTTGGTGAAGCTCGGTTCAGTCTTTCCGGCCTTCTCAGGGACCTCTTCTTTCTCTGGAGGGTGTGACTCTCGCTCATCGTTGGAGTCACTAAAGAATGAAGAAAAAGAGCTTTACCCCCAAAAAAGACCGTCTGGTTTTGAGACAGGGTCATTGCCCAGGCTGCTTCTGAACTCCTGGGCTCAGGTGATCCTTCTGTCTCAGCCTCCCAAGCAGCCGGACTACAGGGGCGTGCCACCGTGCCCATCCCCCCAAAAAGAACACAAATAAATGATCATGGCAACTTGGGGCGCGCCATGAGCAGCCCTGGGCACCTACCTGAAAGCCTGGACGATGACGGTACCGAAGAGGATGAAGAGGGCGGAGAAGATCAGGGACAGCAGGGGCATCATTTCCCGCCTGGAACCAAGCGCACAGCTGCATTAGCTCCCGCTGCTGCCGGTTTCTCTCCAAAGCAAAGGAGAAACAGCACATCCCTGGTGGAGACGCTTCCACCCCGGTGAACACTGCTGTATAGGCGGGCTGCTTGGTGGGGGGAAGGGCAGGTTTGCTTACTCGGTGCCCTGACTCACAGGTAGCTTACTCTGAAAGCCTCATCTTGTACCTTGGGATGTAACAGGCTGCACTGAATACATTGCAGAAGTGAGATGATACAAGGGTAACAAAAGTCTTAAGCTGCAAACACGAGAAAATTTTCTGATGCTGAGGTATCAGCAACTAAAGTGTCTGTGGAATGATCTCAATTTTATTAATTTTTTTGGGAGGGGCAGAATAATCCAGATGAGGTCCAGAAGGGTGGAACCTGGGGGGAAAATCAACCTTTCAAGATTTCTTCCAGGACCTCGCTGTTCCAAGACTTTGCTGAGCCACTAACACCTGTCAAGGGCCCGCCAGATTCCGGGCACCGTGCTGGGTGCCGAGGCACAAGCGTGAATACGAGGAGTGGGAAGTGTCCCCTTTGTGCACCTGCACGCAGGCCTTCCTGTGTGCGGTCCCTGCGCGGGGCACCAGGGGCTCTGATGATGCGGCTGGTGGTCCCAGCTCTGCTGTGGGGACGGGAGGCCAGGGCAACCCCTTCCCAGCCAGCGGGAAGGGGGAGTTGGCAAATAGAAAAAATGGGGGGTTACTGAACGGAGGAAGAGGGGAGCCGCTGTTGGAAAGGTCTACACGGCTTGCACAATGGGACACTCTTTCCAAGAGACTCGGTGACGCTGGTATTCACAGAGAAAGACCCCGCGCTCCCGGCAGGCTCCTACCAGTTATTGTGAAGCATGGTCTCCCAGCAGTCGGAGAGGTACTCGGAAGCTGAGTAGAGCCATCGGAGGAGAAAGACCTGTGGAGACAGACACCGAGGGGGTGAGGACTGTGCTGGAGCGGGGGTTCTCCGCTCCCGACACACAGCGGCTGTGAAGCTCTGCTCCCAGCGGCACTGTCGCTGGCTCTGGGAGCCCACGGGCTCCACCAGCAGCCCGGCCTCCCCAGCGATGCTCACAGGGGCAAGCTCATCCGTCAGGTCGGGCAGCACGGCCTCGGACACCAGCAGGCCTGGGTCCTTCCGCAGCTGGTCGAGGAAGCCCAGGAGGACGAACTTATCACCCTCGCTGCCGGTCCAGGGGTCCTCCAGGGTTCTGTACACCACTCTGCCTGCCGTGTTGCGCCTTTCTAAGATAGACACCTGGGGGCAGGGAAGAAAGCCGTTAGCAGTTGTTTTTTCTCCAGGGAGGATGGATAAAGGGTCTCATGAAGTCAGTGATATGTGCCAGCACAAATATCTGAAGAGTCTAAAATACTGGCAAGGGATTGAAATCCTCTTGACAAAGGGAATTATTATTTTACAGTACTGGGGATGAAACCCAAGGCCCCAGGTAAGCTAGGCCAGGTGCTCAACCATTGAGCTACATCCCCACCCCTTTTTATTTTTATTTTGAGACAGGGTCTCACTGGGCTCGCCATTGGATTGGGATTCTACTGCTTTAGCCCCATGAGTGGCTGGTTTTACAAGTATGTATCACAGTCCCTGGCATGCATGCATTCATTCATCCATTCATGAATGAGACAGGGCCTCCTTGTGATGCCCAAGTTGGCCTTGAACTCCTAGGTTCAAGCAATTCTCCTGGCTCAGCCTTCCAAAAAGAATTTTTTTTTTTTTAATCTTTTTGAGACAGGGTCTTGCTGTGCAGTTCAGGCTGGCCTTGAGCTCACTTTGTAGCCCAGGCTGATCTCGAACTCACAGTGATCCTCCTGCCTCAGCCTCCCCAGTGCTGGGATTACAGGCGTATGCCACCACGCCCGGCTAAAAATTTTTTTTTTGAGAAAGAGTCTTCCTATGTAGTGCAGCCTGGCCTTCAACTCACTGTGTACCCAGGCTGGCCTCAGACATGCAGCGATCCTCCTGCCTCAGCCTCCCATGTAATTACAGGTATGTACCACCATGCCTCGCTCAAAAGGAACTGATTTTATGGTGACCTTTTTTTTTAAAAATAGACTTCATTCTATAACCTCTGACTTAAAACTATAATAATGCTTTGGTTTTTAGAGAGATTTCCCATAATTACCAAGATGATGACAAAATCAAAGCTGAGCTTTCTTATCTTCTCCATCCTGGGGATGGAACCCAGGGCCTCACTATGCTAGGCAAGTGCTCTATCACTGCGCTGCATCCCCGGCCCCAAGCAGGGTCAGGAGAGAACCCGGAGCTCACCGCTGATTTCCCTTGAAACGCCTCGCTGTGTGGTAGCAGGGTGCTGGCAAACTCCTGCTGCCGGCTGCTATAGACATGCGTGAACCTCACCGTGTCCTGCGTGTTGGCCAGGGCAAAGGACAGGAAGGCCTCGAAGGGTTTGCTCAGCTTGGTGGCCTCGGGAGTCAGTAAGACCACGCAGTACCTGCACAAGACCGGGAGATTCTGTAACCGATCCAGGCGGGACCAGAGCCTGCTGCGGCCAGCAAAGAGGACAGGAGGGCGCCGCTGGCTTACAGGGATGTGTGCGTCTGCGTGATGAAAGCTGCCGTGTCTGAGGCGGGCGGACTTCCAAGTCACTGTCAATGACCTTCCCCCTTTCCAGACTGGTGACGCGTTCCCCAAGCAAACTCCCCCCTGACATCTGGGAGCTGGTCACTGCATCCCTGCAGCAGAAGGGGCTCTCAGCGGCTCTCCGTCCTAGTCACTTGTCCTCAAGCCCATTCCTGGGCACTAACTGAATGTGTGAGAGGAAAGGCGACATTCTCGCCCTTGGGCAGCTTACGTTCCCGTGGGGAGGACAGACAATAAAGAAGCTACAGCGTAACAGCTAACTGGAGCACTACAAGCAGAAGAAAACACGGGGCAGAGGGGCCAGTGCGGGGTGGAAGTCACATGCCACCCGGCAGGCTGGTCAGGGAAAGGTCACCTGACAGGGTGGCCATGGAGCAGAGACCTGAGCGAGGTGTGCCAGGAGAGGGAAGAGGATCAGGGCATCCCAGGCACCGTGAACCACGAATGTGGAAGCGGCATGGAGGGCGGCCTGACCTGGCCTGGATGGTAAAGACCCCTGGCTGGTGTGGGGACGCTGACCGGCGGCAGGCGTGGAAAGGGAGCGGAGAGACCTGTACAAAGCTGCCGTGGTGTCTCCCTAGGAGACGACAGTGGCCTGCTCTAGGGTGGCACTGGTAAAAAAGTGAGAAATCGGTGGATTTGGAATATTTTTTGAGATACAGTATTTGTGTAAACAAAAATCTTTATCGTCCAGGATTTTTTTTTTTTTTTTTAATTTTTTGAGACAGGGTCTTACTATGTAGTTCAGGCTGGGTTTAAACTCACTATGTAGCCCAGGCTGGTCTTGGACTCATGGCAGTCCTCTTGCCTCAGCCTCCTGAGGGCTGGGATTACAGATGTGTGCCACTATGCCCAGCTAGGATATTCTTTTTTAGTCTAATAAAAGTCAGGTCTCTTTCTCCTTTTTTGAGACAGGGTCTTGCTATGCAGCCCAGGTTGGCCTTGAACATGCAGTAATCCTCCTGCCTCAGCCTCCCAAGTGCTGGGATCACAGGAGTACACCACTACCCCTGGCTAGAAGTCTACCTTTCTTTCTTGAGAGCTTGTTCTTTTTTGTACTGTAAAAACCAACTGGAAAAGTCTGGAAACAGGGAAGTTATTTTAAATATACTTAACAATATTTTCAAATAATATCAATGTATTTTCCTTCCCAATCCAGATTATCTTTTACAGATAAAATAGCCCTAAATTTAAAGCTACTGATTACTAATCTGAAAAAGGCATAATGAATGATTTCCTTGACTCTTCAAACTTGTTAGAAATTGTACAGTAACTCTTCACAGACTTTAATGAGTAAATGAGCCGTGCCTTCCTGTTAGCCAGCTAATGGCTTTAACATCCGGGCACCTGCCTGCCACAGCTGAGTAACCACTGTCCTGGCTCCTCGCAGCGCTATGCAGGGATAGCAACTCTCTCCCGCTCCAGCGTCACTCAAGTGACCTGGGCTCCCTGACACCAGTGAGAGTCTCTTCATCTTTTAGGTCTCCGCTCAGTGTCACAGCTTAGGGGTCTCTGACCTCACGGCCAGGCTGGTCCTCAGGTGCTCAGGACTATCCCGCCCCACCGTCACCCCAGGCGTCAGTCAGTACGTCTGAACCAGGTTCTGCCCCCGCGATGTTTAACCGCGCTGTGGTCAAAGGCATCGGGCCCTCCTCTGCAATGACAAGCAGAGGCGACTCTTGAGTCCTTACTTCCTCTGGCGGTGAGACCGCTTCACAGGGCAGAGTTCGTGGAACAGCTTCTGGCTGGTGAGCCTGGCCGCTAGCAGGTACTTGTTCTGGGTGATAAAGTCGTCCACCACCTGCTTCTTCAGACCTCGAGCCTGCACACAAACCGAGAAGTGGCTGCTTGTGACTCAGTTTTCTCACTGCAAATGGGTTTTATTTACAAGCCAATAAAAATGTAGCAGCCCTGGCTCCGAGCCCTTAGCCAGGTCAGACGGGGCCCTCGGAGCAAAAGAACACACAGTGCTGAAGACAGAGCTATTTTGGGCCAGGGGAAGAAGCAAGGCCTCTTCCCACTGGGGGCTTCTGTATGCCATGCTACACTGGCAGATCAGAAGAGTCAGGTCAATCACTGAATTTTAAACTAATACATTTCCATTCAGGGTCTGTTGCCAACTCGACAATTAAAAACAAACTCTAAAGGAACAAGTACCACTAAGTATAAAAGGCAGACTACAAAATTGTCTGACATTTGTTTTACTGATAATACTTCATAGGATACAGATACTAGGTTCTCCAACCACACTGTATTTAATCTAGAATTTAATATAAAATATAAAACTGAGGTGGGGTGTGGTGGCACACACCTGTAATCCCAGCACTCGGGAGGCTGAGGCAGGAGGATTACTGTGAGTTCGAGGCCCGCCTGGGCTACAAAGTGAGTTCAAGGCCAGCCTGAGCTGCATAGTGAAACTCTGTCTCAAAAAGGCAAAACAAAACAAAACAAAAAATCCTGAAATGCAATGATTAGAAATTAAAAAATATACTCTGAATAAGCAACTGATCTAGGAAGAAAGTCTATCCTACATTGGAAAATATTTTGAATTTAAATGATTACTGGAAACACTATTTATCAAAATTTTGGAACACAGACAAAGTTATACACCCTTGGAGGGTAATCTTAAAACTTGTAACGTTGAGCTGGGTGCACTAGTGCACACCTGCAGTCCCAGCTACTTGGGAAGCTGAGGCAGGAAGATCACTTGAGGCCAGAAGTTCAAGGCTAAAGCCAGGGACCCAGTCTCAAAAATCAAACCAAACCAAACCAAACCAAACCAAACCAAACCAAACCAAACCAAACCAAACCAAAAACAGAACTAACCAACCAACCAACAGACAATCCTAAACCAGCTGGGGGTGTAGCTCAGTGGTGGAGTGTTTGAACGCTTTCTTAGCATCTGGAAAGTTCACGGTCCAGGCCCCATTTTCTATACCATTCATGATTAAAAACCCAACAAGGGACTAAAGGAATTGTCTGAGCATGGCGCTGCACATCTGCAATCCCAGCACTCTGGGAGATGAAGGTAGCAACAGGGTTCCAAGCTCAATTCCAACTTAGGAGACCCCATTTTAAGACAATAAGAGGCGGGCCGGGGACATACCTCAGAGGCACAAGTGCCTGTCTGGCAAGCACAAGGTCCCAAGTTCGATTTCTGGTACCAAAAAAAAAACAAAAACAAAAACCAATAAGTGCGCTAGGGATGCAGCTCACGGTGAAGGTGCTGGGTTCCACCTCCAGTGCTGGGGAAAAACATAAAACCAAAAATGGGACAAGGGATAAAAGCAACTTCTTTAATCTGATAAGGAGGATCGGGGAACCGCTGCAAGCTCTCCCTATCGCTGAGATCAGAAACAAGGGTGACCCCTGTCACCTTCCTTCCACTGCACCCCAGAGCTCAGCAGCAGGCCCTAGAATGAAATAAAGCAAGAGCTGGAAGCAGCCGCAGCAGCGAAACTGTCACTGTTCTCAGATGACAGGACTGTGTGCCTCGCAAATCCAAAAGATGGTACAGTGAATTATTTAAACCTGTCAGAGTCCGGTAAGACTGCTGGAGGACACAAGGTCAGAATTTAAAAATCAACTGTATCACTTCTACCTGCAAACAGAAACTATAGTAAAGAAGATATCCTTTCAACAGTATGAGAAAATGAAGCAGGCTGGGGATGTAGCTCAGTGGCATAGCATGTGCCTGGCAAGTACAGGGTCCTGAGTTCAATTCCCAGTACAAAAAAAAAAAAAAAACCAAAACAAAGAAAAGATAAGAAGCATGTAGCAAATTGAGGAAAAAGCGTGGTCTTTAAAGGAAATGGTAACACTTTATAAAGACCTAAGCAATGAAACAGACACATCATGTTCGTAGGCTGGAAGGCTCAGTTGTATAGACTTAAAACAATCAGTACAAAGCCGGGTGCAGTGGCACACGCCTATAATCCTAGCACTAGGGAGGCTGAGGCAGGAGGATATTTGCAAGTTCTAGACCAGCCTGGGCTACAAAGTGAGTTCAAGGTCAGCCTGAACTGCAAAGACAAAAAAAAAAAAAAAGAGAGTGGGCTCCGATGTCCTCTGGGAAGGAGGGGCATGGCTGGAGGGTAGAAGTCACTGAGCTGATGTATACACCCTTTTTTTTT